ACAACTTTCCACAAATTCCTCACTTTGTATACCATTCAGTATGGGGCAGAACTAAGAACACAGTATATTTATGAAACAGGGAAAAATAATTGTTTAAGGAGAAAATAAACCTGGTTAAAAAACGCCATTCCTTCACATGGAAATGCCAAATGTAACTGAAAACGTCCACACACACCTTACCAAAACTGATTAATGATGACAGATGATTTCTAACTTTTGAATTGTAATACTTACCAACATTCTCCAGACTCATTTTCTTTACAACCTTTACAATCGATTTACATGGAGTTACTCATTTTGACAAATTTTACCCTGTACAGGGGAGATTTATTTATTTAACTGAACACAAGTTTAGAAGTCTAATTCATAAAATAGCAGAGTCATGATATACAACATATTACAGTTTTGAGATGTGTTATAATGTAATAAGTATTTTTCTGTCTGGGATGTATAAAAATTAAATGTATACAGGTAGCAGAGATGGGCCCAAATTCTGCACTGATGTAAGCAAGATAAACTTCTTTCCACAGGAAATATTTACATATATATGTGTGTGTGTGTGTGTGTTTTTAATGTTTTGTGATTATGAGTGCATTTATCCATCATTTATGTTTATGTATACACAGATGTACAAGATATTTTATATACACAAAAGAGTACATGTATGTATATAAACTGTTATATAAGTTTTTATCTTTATATAACCCCCCTCACTTTTCCAAAACTTTAAAAGGGAGCACCCCAAATCAACAGCATTACAAACAAAATACTTTTGTCCTATTTTTAAAGCAATGAATATAGATGTTTTCATGTGGTTACAAAAAGTTACTTTGTTGTAGTACCTTTGTGTAATTATAAATGCAAAAGCATTTTAATACTATCTGAAACGTCAAAAGCTCAGAAGAGTACTGGAATATACATTTCAGTAACCTCTGATCATCATCTTTGCTGTACCACAAAGCACAGCGCAACGCAATTATCCGTTAGAACAGGAACACAGATCAACATGCAGAGGCACAGGGAAAAAAAAAATTCTTGCGGCCATCATATAAAATGCCGCTATGTATTTTCTAGACAATTATTCTTTGATTTGCAGTGGAATGAACTGTTTATAACGTTATTCCATTCCAAACTTTCCTTAAGTATAAGCATTCAGGACAAACTAGTTACACTGATAATCTGTTAGAATAGGCTGCTTATTTTAAAGAAAATACATATAGATTTTGGCTACAACTTACTTTAATTTGTATACTTTTCACAGATTAAAAGAAGAATGGAAAGTATTACTAGTGCATCGTCATTACCATAAACACATTTAATTCTGGATGGTATTTGGAGGAGCAAACGCTAAAGCAATTCACAACTGCATTGCTAATTCCACTGGTATTTGTTCATGAAAAAAACAGATAAGATGAAAGCATGAGCAGAACCAAATATTAAAAAAAACACCACCACAAAAAACACACAGCAGCACCCAACTGAGGCTTTGGATTAAAAAGTCGTAGCAATTTTTTAAAACCAAGAAAACAATTCAAATACATAAATGATAAAGTATCAACAGCTAAATTATTCAGGAAGGATCTATTGTCAAATTTAATCTGATTGTAAATCATCAGAAGCATAGTACTATTTACATTGTATGAATAAAATAATATTAGAAGTTTGTCATATGGTGAGCCATCTTTTAAAGACGCTGGACTCCGCTTCCTCTTAGTGTTCTCTGTTTCTGAGGCTATACGACTGGAGACATATGCCTCGTGTGACAGACTCATATAAAGAGAAACATTTGGAGGAAACTGAAGAAAAACTTCAGTTGGTGCGAGTTGTGAAGTCCTGTTATAAAGGCACATCTGTGAAACTTTTCTTCTCCAATATACATTTTTGGCATTCCCAAGTTTTCCAGACTCAGTTTCCTACTCTGCCTAGCAAAACTAGTTCCTCAGAATTTCATCTCACATTACTGGTTATTTGGCAATTCCCCCATTTTCCTCTTAATTTGTTTACTTTAAATAACTATTTATTTATTGGGGGAGAGGGCAGAGCAGTTCCAAAATCTAGGACACACAGGGCTTTGCGATTTAGGAGATCTAGAGTCAGTTATTTTCATCTGTCCCAGGTAAATGGCCTAAACTGCAAGTCTTTCTTTTTGGCCTGGTATTTCTCACGGCAGTGCAAACGCCCATTCCCCTGGGCAGTGAAGCAGCCTTGCTTCTTTACTGAAAAATTGATCGCTCTCTCATTTACTCTTAGCATCATTACTCCACTAAACTACTTTTCCCAATTTGTTTGTCAGCCCAGCTCCCTCTTCCCCATACTGCATTATATTTCCACAAGTTTTAATAGTCTCTGCTTTTGCCTGGGTTTTATGGATTGAAGGAGACTACAGAAAATTTATGTTGGCTCTATCTTGCTGTTTCATTTCAATATTAAAATATTCAAATGCTTCTGTCCCTCATTTTTATATATCTTTTCCTCTTCCAGAATATTCAGCATCTTCGCTGCAATCTCCAATAAATCTAGCATTTTTAAAGCATTCAGTTTTCATGTAGTCAGATTTCTCATTTCACCTCCACATAAATTGTTACAAAACAGAAATGAAATAAATGAGCAATACTGCAACATCTTCAAGGAGATAACTAAGACAGGCCTTTCTGAAGTTATGATCTAAATATCTTTCACAGTTTGACTGCTTGAAGTCAGTATTGGCTAGTCTGTAGCCTAACTGCTTGTGAGCCTAAGCTCAACTTCCAATCTACAAAGGAGTCAAATGTCTTGTCTATATGTATTTAAGTTTTGCAACTAGTTAGCATAGTGAAGACTACCAGTTTACTCCCTTCCTTCATCTTTCCAGCCCTTGTTAGTTTAGATGCAATTCTAGACATGAAAAAGCGCTCCTTCTGTCATAGCTGCTTCTAGTCTTGTTCCGTTGTAGCCTTACCTAATTAAGGAGCCGATGCTATAGTAGCGTAAAGGTTTTTATGCAGTTGCAGCAACGTGTACACTACAGCTGTAATTGCCATAAGTAACAAGAGAAAAATGAATACAACAATAAAAACTTGTAGGCTTAGACCAATTTTAATGCTCATTTTGCAAGTGTACAAAGTTTAGGCTTCTAAGTCACTTCAAAAAAAACGCAAAATACATGCCTTAAAAATTTTGCTCACCTGTCACCAAGAAGAGACAACCATGTGTTATATCTAAATTGAGTTTCGACACAAGTCAAGCAGCACCAATAACACAGACGTATTTGCAGAAGAACTAAAATGAAATGTTAAATAACTTTATAAAGAACTTGAGGGAGGCTACCCTTCTGCATTGACACGAGTCTAAAGTAAATACTCTTTTGAACCTCGTGGGATAAGTTGTTGATGCACAATAACAACAAGCATATGCAACTGTTTCATATACAGCTACAAATATAATATTGTGATTATCTTAAAAGCAACAGCACAGATCTTGCAGAACTGAAGAATCAGTTAAATCTTCTTTTCCTTTCTCCAGAAAAAAGTTATGTTCTTGTCAAGAAAAAATATCCTTTGTAAAAACAACTATTCCCACTGTGCCTTTGTATAGTGTAACAAGTGATACACAGGCATCTCACAACTGTGAGGTAGTTAAAGAAAATGATAGTTATACCCTATACAAGAGTGAACAGATTTAACAATTATTATGAAAATCTTTACCATGATCTCAGCACATTTACACAGCAGCTTATTTCTAATAATTCCCTCACTGTCCTTTATACAAAAGGCAATTGAGAATAGTTACAATATATGAAATGGTAAATACAATAAATTAAACAAGCTAGTCAGCAAGACCAATCTCCCTCCTAATTATAGGACATCAGCAGAAAGTCTTAATATGTTCACCAACTAAAGTAAGCCTGCAACTCTTCCGGAGTAGTGAAGCAGGCAAGCTACTCTTGCTGCAACATAGTCGCTCCTATAGATTCTTGTAACTTCTGACCAGCTACTGAGGGACAACGTCCCCACCTGACTTCTAATGAAGTAGCTAGGAAAAATGCCCTTCTGAACATCTTCTTTCAGTGTGAATCAGTACTGTTACTGGTACATATTTGTACCTCCTGCCCTTTAAAAGAGGTTTCTATTAAAAAAAAAAAAAAAAGAATTGGCACTCTGTTTTAGTAAACAGTAAACACTATAAACACAAGTGCACATAAATATGGACTTCAGTATTTTCCTAAGAAAAATGCTTCTTGCAATTAGCAGCAATTTAAAGAGAAGATTGAATTACCTGGATTAAGCAATCACCTTTACATTTAATTGTTATTTCTTCCTGAAATTCATATGTAAAAAAATTGTACTTTTTTGAAATATATTGAATGAAATTCAAGTCAAAAATAGACCATTTATGGTACATTTAAAATTAAGATTTACTCTTAAATAATTATTTTTAGGGTAAATCTGTGACTAATAGTCACATAATGCTGCTATGGAGAATACATGTAGGAACTGCAGACCTGTACCTGCTTTTGGAAAGATCTAGCAGCTATTAATGTCTCTAGCTTTTACAGCTTGCAGAAGGTAACAAACCAGTTGTGCTATTTCCATCCTTTGGTCTTGATTGCAAACTCCATGAACTAATCCATAACTATTACAATGTAAAACACATTTCCTACAGTCTTGGAGACAGATAAATCCCATAACCCTTCTTCAATCTAAAGTCTTTATCATATGGAGATGGAAGTATAGGAGAAAATAGGTGTTTATAGCTATGATTGCTTTGACCTTTTTTATTCTAAAGGCTTTTTTGAAAGAAAGCCTTTATTTTCCACTTGATTTTGAACATTTCCAATTAATGCTTTTAGTTAGTTATGATTGGCCAAAGGAGATTAACCAAATCAGGAATCTCAGAATAACGTGCAAGAACATGAACACTGCTCGCTCGCCAATGGCGGCCTGGCAGAACGGGCTAAACCATTTCTGGGGAAAATGTACTTGCATGCCTCAAAACTGCAAGCAGGTCTAAATGACTCCACAGGAGAAGGTCAAAGAGACCATCAACAGGTTGCAGTTAATGAAGCCTTCATCTATTCAGAGTTCCTAGAAATGTTTAAAGGAAACCTTTCTAGGAATTGGAACAGAAAGTGAAACATATTTAGGTCGAACAGTGCAAGAGTCATTCAATCTGAAACTAAATAAAGCCCATGTAAATATGCCATTTTACATTTAAGTTGGGCACAGTTTGAATCAAATAGGTATGAACTCCTACCTGTTACA